GATGGATTCATATCTAATAATTATAAAAGAGAATAAAAGTTTGTCAAAAAAATATTTAGAATATTCGAAAAAAAATTGTGTTAATTTTTTACCTGTCTAGATAAGTAAAGTTTGAAAATTTGAAAAATTATTGGGATTTTATACCTTTTTATATATTTCATATCATAAGAAATCAAGGAGGTATTTTGAGATCAGTATTGTATAAAAAAATAAATAAAACGATCATACAAAGAATAAAAAAAAATAAACAAAAAATATTACACAAGGAATAAAAAAAATAAACAAACAGATATGATAAAAAGATAAAATGCCAAATAATCAAATTTTTGAAAAAAAATAAACAAAACAGATAGATATGATAGTATTAAATATGTACTTTGTTTATTTGTTATGATGTGATCTGCAGATCGTAGGCTCGGATAATAATATAAAATCACATGATTTTAAGATATCTGAACCTGTAGTCACAGATCTTAACTAATTTATTGATGGTACGACAATGAGAATTCTGACAATACCCTTATGAAATAAACACCATATTTTTTATTATAATTATATATTTGCTTTTTTTATTAAGTGAAATTATATCTTTTATTATATAGATGAATTAATTTTACAAGAAATAAACGTTTCGTATTTTTATTATAAATTACCTTTGCCTCTTTTATGTGAAATCACTTTTACACATCTTTTATTACATATGTGAAACTTATCTTGTTATGTCAAAGTTACTTACAAAAGAAGATACCCAAAAGCTTCAAAATCTTCGCTTGTACAAAACGCTGCTAAGTTATTAATGTTTCTAACCAGTATTGTGAACTTGCTAATATGGATTATGGAAATGAATTAATTAATGATATAGCAACTTTGGAGGACTTTTTAATAGATTTATTACATGGTTATGTCAAAAAATGAAGAATACAAAGTGGAGCCTACACATAATTGTTACTCAGCTTTAAATCGACATTCAAGAGAACATTCTGTATTACTGACAGTTAAAATCTGGGATAGTTATCAATTTCTACGAGCTCTTCGTATTTTAAATGGAAAGATGCGACTTCTTCAGGATCAAGGGCTTTGTGATCCAAAATGGCCGAGAGATTACCTATACATGATATTAAAGAATTTTAGATCACAAATATATGAAAGGTGATAATAATGGATTTTTAATTAGACAGACATTTTTTTGGCTGTCCTGGTTATGTGGATTACGTGGAGGATATACATGCAAACTTGAAATATGTAAAGATATTGAAAAGCGTAAAGATGGTTGCTTGCAACTTTTTATTCATCAAGAAAAAAATAATCAAGGTGGTGCTTTTCATCGTAATAAATATGGATGTACAGGCATTAGAAGGCTTCCAACACCACCTGATAATCTTAATAATAAATACTTACAATGTGTCAATATATTTCAATATACAGTATTTCTATGTGGTTTATTTTTAGAAACAACTTGTTCTACCAAAGGTATTTTATAATATAATATATTATTTATTTGTTTATTCACAGCAGTTTATTTTATTTCATTTTATTTTATTTTATTTATTTTATTTTATTTATTTATTTTTATTTTTTTATTTAAAATTAGATCTTAGAAAAGGCATTTGGTATAAAACTGGACCTATGGGTGAAGGAAAACTAAAGCGTATGATAAAGGAAATTGCAAATAATACAGGAATTAATGTCGATAATGAGCGAAATATTACAAATAATTCTTGTAGACGAACTGCAATTCAGTTTCTAAAAAACAATAATGTTCCAGAACATGATATGATGACATTTTCTGGACATCGGTCAGTTGAAGGTATTCGATCTTATCAAAAGCCAAATGAAATTCAAGATTATCAAGCACAGCAAATTGAAATTAGAAGTAAGCATTAACAGGATGCAATGTTTCTTCCCGAAATTAATTGTAATGACTTCAATTTGTGCCACTCAAGTATTATTCTAAATATTACTCATCACAAAGAAGAAAGTGATCCTTCTACCAATGGATCTATTCAGTTGATACGGATTGATTTACAATACAATTGGACCTGGGTAAATTTTAAATCCCTCATTCATATGTATTGATGTTGGTCTAATTTATTAATGTTTCATTTTTATTTATTTATTACTGATTTGTGAACCATTCTTTAAGCCACAGAAGGATATCAAATATATAACGACGTGATCATAATTGAATATGATATTAGTTAGTAGCGAAACAATTATCAGGATTACAAGGAGATTATGTTTAGCCTTAATCTGAATTGTTGGGGAAGGGAATGTTGGATATTAATGAATTATAAAATAATAATTATAAATTTGAAAGGAATGATAAAAGAAGTCGTGTAAAAAAATGGAATTAGATCACGATAAATTATTATCCGAATTTCTATTTATTAACTATTGATAATTAATAATAATTATAACATTAATAATGGACGTAATGTCCGACCCGTAATTGAAACTTTTTATTTGGCTTATTTTCAGATTTATTATCAATATTTCTTCCATAGATTTGATGTATTCAGTAACGATGATTCAATGGAAATTTTTTTGATCGTATTTTGAATAAATTATTTTTATTAAATTTTTTTATTTTATTTGTTTTTCAGTGGCGAAATTGAAAACATTTTCTGCATTTATCACTTTCTAAAATATTTTTTTGATTCATAAATTATTTAATTTTTTTTTAATGGAATTTTCAAACTAATAATATTATAAATAGACGTAAGAATAAATTCGCACAAAACTTTGCTTTTATATTTGTCAAGATAATTATTTATCATTTCAAAAATATTTTTATTGGATAAAAGTTTTCTAATTCGCACATGCCATTATTTAAAAACTTTACGTGCGAATTACCTCCCTAGTTTTCAATCGACGATTTTTGATGCAAGAGAAAATGAAAAAATAATATTATATCAACGAAAATAAAACGTTTAGCATATTTTCTTGTGTATTAAAGATGTTTTCACATATATGCATACTATTATATAGTTATAAATACTTGCAGAATCACTATTAATAACACTTAAACTTATATTAAACCAAATATATATATTTATTAATAAGGATGATATAATAAAGAAATATAAAAGACAATATATAGAAAATGAAAATATAAGAAAATAAAAAGAAATATAAAAGATTATATATAGAATATAAGAAATTTAAGAAAAAAGATACATACAGAGAAAAATAAAAAAAAAAGATTTAAAGATTTAGCGAAAATTAAATGGAGAAAATTAAAAGGCAACGGGTTTAACATTTTTTTTTACCCTCCACGAATTTAGTTGATCTTGAGCATAGACTCTAGCTTTTAAACTATCATCTATGTCAAGATCTTCATCCCCGGTATATTCTTTGGCTGCTTCGAATAATAAGATTGTTTCATAGATCTTCTTATTACAGAATTTAATATCTTTAGTAACAGATGAAACAGACCGATCGTATTCCACTTGAATTTCTGTACCCCCAAATGGATCATCTTCCAGCTTCTTGAAAAAAGTCACATGATGTTCACCAAGAAGCTGGATACATCGTTCTCGTTTCCGATCATAATATATCTTGTTTGTTGTTGCGTGAACGTATTTGAACATTCCAATTAATTTAGGCGGTTGAGCCTTTAAACTTTCATATACACTTTCAAAATAAACTTCCGGGTTCAAAAATGCTGCATATTGATACCCGGCTTTATGTGCCTCATTTTGATTATAAAAGGCTTCTGCGTAACACAAAAATGCCTCCAAGGAATCGGCTATTCTTTTTAACCTGTTGTCTTTATTTATGGGGGTTCGTTCGCATCGAACTTTATAGTCTGTCGCCTGCCTTCTTTTCGTTTCATATAAGACATGGTAGACTTCAGAAGTTTTGTCAGTTTGTGTGCCCACGGATTTTTTTTCACCAATGTTGATCCTCTTTCGAGCTTCTTGATTATCATTAGGGGATGGAGATCGTTCTCTTTTCATATTGAATATTGGATTTAAATTTTACTAGAATATTATTAAAATATGAAAAAATTTTATTGTTCGATATTAATCTTAAGAAAATGGAATTGAGTAAATTTGCGAAAAAAAAAAAATTATTAAACCTAATAAAAGTTGATTTCGAGGGATATTAAGGAAACTTGATAAAAATGGGCCATCTTTTATATTTGTGAAGGTTGTATAAAAAATTCATTTACTTTCCTTCAGGTTGACTTTTTTTTTTCGCTATCACAATAATCTGATGTAATTTCAGCGGCAATTTCCTTTTTTAAATTTTCCCTTTTTTTTTATGATAAAAATTTTTAACGAGATTTCTGTTAATCATATGCATTGTTCGCTATTTCAGGTTGTTTTAACCATTTTTAGAAATTGTGTATCGTGAATAGGCTATTAAGTTAAATAAATGAAAACGAAATATATTATTATTATCAGGTTCTATTTTGGATATCATCTTGTGATTTTTCGTTCTCATATATTTTTTTAATCATGATAATAATCAGTGAAAAAAAATTTTTGAACACGCTTTTTAATCATGATAATAATCAGTGAAAAAATTTTCGGATCAATTTTTACAAACGTTATTTTGTCTATTTTTTTCTCGCATTCGTCTATAATTACACTTACCCCCTTGCCGTTGACCTAATTTAATAATTCTGCCATAACCACCTGGTCGGTTTTGATATTTTTTTTTCCTTTTCGTCTCTCTTTAGACTTTTATTTCTCTATAATTACACTCTAGTATCAATTATGTATTAAATTTTATTAAATAATAAAGAAATTATTTTTCAATCATCTATAATTAAACTAATCTTATCAATTATATTTTATTATATTTATTACATTTGCGTTTTAAAAATGATAAATCATATGATTTAACTTGTAATCGATATTGTAAATTAATAAATTTAAATGATATAATAAAATAAAAAAAAAAGAACCGAAAAGAACAAAAAAGAACAATTAATAATTCTTTTTATTATTCGGATAAACTTTTTAACTTTAAATTAATATTCTCATGATATTATGTTAATCTTCTATTCAATCCATTAAAGTACCCCGATTAGGAATTTATAATTAGGGTAGCACCCCGTTGATACCCCATGATAAAATTAATGATAATTATTAATTAACTGGTTTTTCTTGATCGAATGCATAATAACTATTTTAGGAAATTCTAATCGTATTATACTTTTTTTTTTGTAATTGTTAACTGATTTTTTTTTTGATAAGTACAATATCATATTGTTTAATTCTTTCATTATTATTTTTTCTGTGCTGCGCTATTCAAATTATTGCCAACTGATTTTTCTTTTGATCGAGTGCATGATGACTATAAGTATTATATTTTTTTTTGAAATAAATAATTAAGGAGTTTTAATTAAATCAGATCTATTATTATTTTTTTCTTTGTATACCCATGATCAATGGTATCATATCATACCATATTATCTCATTTTTAACTTTTTTTTTTATGCTGCGCTATTAAAATCTGATATAATGATTATTATTAACTATCAATCTGATGCAATATAATAGTTAATAATTAATATTATTACATCGGATTTGATAGTTAATTGTTAATTACCAGTAATATTTATTCAATCCATTTAAGTACTACGATTAGGAATTTATAATCTAATGACTCATTTTTAACTTTTATTATTATTTTTTTTCTGTGTTGCGCTATTCATAATAATGATTATTATTAACTATCAATCTGATGTAATATAATAGTTAATATTGCATCAGATTCGATAATATAGTTAATTATTACAAGTAATATTTAAACTGGCAAGAAATTATTTGATTTAAAATTTTTTTTTCTCAAATCTTCATATAAATCATCAAATAATATAATAATAATAATAATATGGCTTTTAATAACGAAACAAAAACTAATACTCGTGGTACATACAAAATATAATTTATTAACTATTTAGTACTTATTTAAAAAAATAAAAACTTTATTAAATTTTTATAAATCTTATGCTCCTTTTAGCGTAACTGCCATGGTAGTCGGAGAAGGTTCGGGGTTTTTCGACTACCGGGATCCAGAAGAAATTTTAAAAATACCTAATTATGAAGCCAGAATGTTCTTCTGGGAAAGATTATTCAACAACGTAAGTAAAAACATATTTTTTTTTATAATCTATATGTAATATGTAATAGTAATAATAATAAGATTATACTAATTAATGATTTTTTATTATTATAGGAAATGTTAATAAAAAAGGGGAAGATGTGGGGTGGATCCCCATTCCGAAAGGATATGTATTGGACTTGAAGTTGGAGAAGAAGGAGAAGAAGGTGGTGACGTGGGAGAGAACGAAGTAAGAATAATTAAAGAAGAAAGTAGGAGAGCGAGGTTGTGGAGAAAGTTTAAGAAGAGTTGTCATAAAGTATATAAGAAGTTGTAGAGGCGGGAGAGCTTTTTTTATTTTTTTTTTATATATATTTCTCTAAATTTTTTTATATTTTTTCTATATTTTTTCTATAACTTAAATTCATATAATATTAATAAATTCATATAAATATTTAAATTTTTCTTTATATTTTTAAAAATTTTATTTTATTACAAATGAAAACGAAAATACGATATTTTCATTGCTTTATTCTTTATTGAATTTTAAATAATAATAAATTTTAAATAAAAAAACAATTACAAGAAAGGTTCCGATTAAATCAAGGAGAAGCATACATATAAGTTAATTAAATATGTTAATTTGTATTGTATTTAATTAGTGCGAAACAAAATTTAAAAACTTTATTAATTCAAAATAATAAAAAAATAAAATACAAAAAATAAAATATAGTAATAAAATAATGAAAATAAAGAAATAATAAAAAGAATGAAAATAATAAAAATAATAAAAATAAAGTAAAATAATAAAAATAATAAAATTAATATAATTTGATTTATACTTTAAATTCTAATGTTAATTTTTTTTGGATCGTATAATCCATTACGAAATCCAAGATATGTAATTTCATGTTTGGTTCTCGGAATGAAATTGCTAAATTACTTTGATTGCAAAATCCTTCTCCCTCTTCTCCTTTCTCTCTATTATTATCATCATTATTTAGTATTATTATTATGTATTATGTTCTAATGTTAATAATTACCTTATAATAACAATAGTAGAATCCGTGGTATGCACGTGATTAATAACCAATGTTTTAATTTAGATTTGATAATCTTGCATAATTTTTTTTCAAAAAAATATTCTTAATTGAAATAATAATAATAATAAATTTAATTAATTGAAATAATAATAAATTTAATTAATAAAAAAATAAAAAATAATAATAATCATAGCGTTCATTAAGTATTTATTATTATAAATTTATTCAATTCAAATTCAATTAATTTCACGTTATTCTTATTATATTGATTCTTATTTAGATATTGGACATGGAGGTTAGGGAAGTCGTGAGGAGGTCGTGGTGGTGGTGGAAGTCGTGGATGAGGTGGTAAATTAATAGTGAACTTTTTTTTTATTTTCGTGAAGGATTAAAACATTTTATAATATAATTTATTTAAAATAATCTTTTAGGTGGTTTAAGACGTGAATTTGGACGAAATGGTAATTCATATCGAGGTGGTAGAGGACTGGTGGAGGTAAATTTGGAGCTAGAGGAGGTTCTAAGTTATTATTGAGCCACATAGACATGAAGGTAATATATAATTATTTATTTATTTACGAAGTCTCCTCCTCTTTATTCATGAATGGTCACCATAAAAAATTTACATTAGTAAATATATAAATAATTATTTAAAAATTATTTATTAAAATATTTAATTATTATTGATCATTTATTTATTTAATTATTTATTTAATTGTTTATTTATGTAGGAGTTTTTCTTGCACGCGGCGAAGAGGATCTTGTTATCAAAAATCTCGTAGTTGGAGAATCAGTTTATGGGGAAAAAATTTCGTTAGAAGATAAAGATGGAAATAAACTAGAATATCGAGTTTGGAATCCATTTCGTTCGAAATTATCTCTTGGTATTCTGGGTGTTCTTGATAATATTTATAAATCACCTAAATCGAAAGTATATTTTGAGAAGCATTAGGAACTACGGTATCACATGTTGCCGATATCGTTGGCCAGTTTAGAATATAAATATATTTATAACACGAATTTCAAGATTGGAGTATATTAATTTTAGACTATGTTAGACCAATAGTTGTATATTACTTACAACTTTGATTAATTTACTCTGTTAGATTTATATTTTTTAGTCGTTTCCATCATGTCGCATTGAAGGATTAGGATCAATCAGCATAGTATATGCCAGAACATCATTGAGATCTTTGATTTTATTAAACGTTTTCATGCAAGATAACTTGAGTTCCATCGTGTCTCTATATCAACAATCATTCGAAGGTATTCATCATTTTTCCGTAATATAAAATCTTTTCTTATTATATTTTTTATTTGAATAAATAACGCTAATTAAAAACGATAAATGATTTATTAATGTATTTCTCTCATATCTTTTCAAACCTAATGATTAGTTAAAGAAAATGCTCGAAAACATCCCTTATGCAGGTCTTGGTCGAACAGGCGCTTTCCGTGAACGTAATGATACAAATTTATTCAACAAATATTCTATCAGATTATGAATTGTTTATATTGTGAAGAATTATTTGTGAATGAAAGATTTCAATGTGATGGTGGGTTTTTCATAGCAAAATTTTCTCTTATTTGATTTATATAAATTCGTTAACTACCTTTTTTTTCTTACAGACTGTAAATTAACATGTTATTCGAAGAGATGGTCACCAAATGTATTCCAAGACTAATGATGAGATGCTAGAAAAGGTAAAAAATCAATCACCTTTTAAACATTTTTTATTCTTAATTCTTATATATTAAATTTAATTTAAAGGATTCAGAGTAAAACATCGTATCCCACATCTTTGAAGAAATCACCGATATTATAGCAAATTGATGTTGTCATTATGGTTATATGCTGCTTCTTGGAAAAAGGAGCGCCAAGAGAAGTATTGGTATATATGAGCACTTGAAGTCAGCTCTTTTTGTTATCAAATATTTTTCATTAATTTAATTAACACCAAATTTTGATTACAGAATGTAATATAACATGTCATTCAAGATGCACCCATCTCATGCTAGATTTTTGTGGAATGACTGTGAGGCGTGCCTATTAGATGATCCAACAAATTCGAATAGCAAGAACTTCAGAAGTATCAAGTCGTTCTAATAGTAGTCAAGAGCTAAATGTTGGAAAATACAGGACCATCAATACCCTCGTCTTCCAGTTACTCCTTCGTAATCCATTCCTTCCCAAATCCAAATGCCATATTCCCAGCACAACAATATGATTATTATGGGTATTTAGAAAATCTGTAATCGATTTGGTCAAACGTCTGTTATAACTTTACCTCTTCAATCACAAGGAGTGCCTCCTAACTTTCCGGCACAACAATGTAAATTGTATTATTATTATTTTGTGAGAAGTTTTTATTGTTGATAATTTATAATAACCTACCTTTTTTATTCATGACATCAATCTAAACACAGGCCCTATCATCTTCCATCCGATTATTCTTTTATTAAGCATACCGTAAAGTTGGCCTGGATGATTTTAACTTTCTTTGCTGTTTTGGGTAAAGGAAACTTTGGCAAGATTAGTTTATACACTTTAATATGCATCACATATGTGTTAATATTAGACTGGTCAACACTTTAAAATAGGTTAAAAAATCATCATAATGAAGGTTGCGCTTGCTCAAGAAAAATATTCTAAGCATCTTTATGCTATAAAGTGTTGATGAAAGAATTTATCATCAAAAATGATGAAGTAGAAAGTTATGAATTTATCACAATTCATATAGGTTTGCAAAAATGTAATGGATTTTTATGAGAATTGTTATACAAATCCACTTTTTTACCATTTTCAAGTACTCAATCTGAAAAGTGTACATTTCAGGTAGCCAATTGATAATGTCGTCTATTCTTATTAGTTACTTTTTAAATTTTTATTAAAACTAACAGGTTTTATATAGAATATTTGCATAAGCAGGGTATCATATACCAAGATTTTAAACTTGACAATATTACTTATACTTGATGGACATATCAATATTGCTGACTATGGTCTTTGCAACTAATACAACAGCTAATAAAACTATACAACAATTTTCACAAGGAGATGTAAATAGTAATATGTTTATAACTCAAGAGGAAGAAATCCAGTAGCCTATCTCTACTGTTTAGAAAAGAATACAGCATATAAACTAACAGGTGTATCTCAGGAGAGTGAGAGTGCAGATAATATAAATTCCTCATCTAAAACCAGAGATAATGATAAAGTAATAGGAGAAAGTATTGGGTCCACAAGTAAACAAGATATTTCACAACCTATCACAAAGAGATTACATTCTGCAGAAAAGAAAAAGGAAGTATCCGAAGACCCTAAACAAAAGAAAGGAGATAAAGTATTATTATATAACTCAAGATTAGATAAACAGTGGTCAGGCAAGCTTGATAAGAAATGGAAAGGACCATTTACAGTTGAGATAAAAGAAGTTATATCCTATCAAATGAATTTGAAAATTTAAAAGAACCAATATATTCTGACAGATTAAAATTATTCAGGAGTAGAGAATCATGGGAACCATTGATAAGAATTTAGAAAACATATAAGGAAAAAGATAAAAACA